TTATCGGAAATGTATGCCCGAGTACAACCCGAACATTAAACTCCGATTTTAGCCTACATTTTATTAAATCTTAGTGTGCACCGGAAATATATTTCCGATTTTAAGGGACATTTAGAAAATTTTGCGTGATGCGCGAGAAAATCATAGGGTGAAAAAGGAAATTCTCTTGAGAAAATTGATGCAAGTCTGTCTATATGGCGCCATGGTGAACTTTTGAGGAAATTTAGGCCTATGTGGATTGAGTAATACTTTATGGAACTTTGGGCAGTCTAAACAATTGTTTCTCAAGGATTGTTGATAAGAATAAGTGAGGCCACCCAAAAACTTGAACTATGATAATCTTGTTCATTAATGAGATGCTCTATAATGACTCTATAGTGGCCCTGTTGAACGGGAGTAGTTGACACAAGGAACATGTGGGGTTAAATGCACTGTGCAAATGAAATATTTCTTCAGCAACAACCTCTACTTGTCCCATGCGCGCATGCGAAGAAGATGGGGTGCCTAAGTCCACTCGAGTGAACTCAAGTGTTATTACCGAATCAAGATATCAAATGAGTCATTGGATGAAATTTTTGAGCTTCAAATGGATCTAGTCAGTTAAGCAAGACGTCTAATTTATATATAAAGCGAGAATCTTTATTTCATTTTCATTTTTTGTGTCTTTATTTATTTAAGGGTTCTCTGAGAAAGAATTTTGATTATTTTTTCTTTATTCTTGGATTCTCATTTTTTCAAGTTGCTTTGTATAATCAATATGCTTTTTCATTAACTTTTTTCTAGGTTAACTACATTAAACCATTTTTTTCTTTTTCTCCTTTATATTTCCAAGTTTTTATTTACGCTTACACATGGACAACCCAAAATACTCAGATGTAGGAACTCTATTTTGTAGAATTTAATAGCATTATTTTTACCATTAAACTAGTAGTAGTTAATCGTGGTGACAAGGAGCCTTATCCTACCCATATTGATAGGAAAAAAAATTAGAGTTATATTTAGTTTTGGGGAAGTTAAGCTGACTAACCCTATTATTGTTGTGTTAAGAGTATCATGTATGTGTCCCTTTGGACTGAAAACGTTCAAATGCAAGTGTAAAATAAATTGTGCAAGTAAAATTCATATGTAGTGAATTGATTTAAATTGTCTTCACAAGAATTGTTTTAATTCCTACAAGACTAAGGAAATTATAATTGCTATTAGAAACACAAATGACATAATGTAAATAAATACGGGGTATACAGAAAATAAATTGGGTTGATTGGGGAAATATTGTAATAATATATAAAATAAAATAACGTGTTGAAAATACTAATGAAAAAAATGATTAAGTTTCCTTTTTAATCCGTTACCCATTTTTATGTGGTTAATTTCTGTCTGAATCTATTATGATTCTTCTATCACGAATATTTTACAAAATCTTTGCAAACTGTTTCATCACACAATTTGCCTCAATGTTCTGAGAGAAGTTGCAACCGACAAAGATGTAATCGAATATAAAATACCTATACCATAAATTATCTAATAAATCCTAACATTGATATACAATTAAAATATTATTGAGTTAATATTAAATATTCTAACATTATAAATAAATCTTCGAATTGCACCGAATTTAGTGTCCATTAATTTATTTATGTGATTTTTTGATTTCTGATAATTTCGGAATACATATTTTTTATTCATCATAAGGATTTTATGACACGCTCTCTAATATTATCTCAGTGTTCTTCTATTTGTTATTTTTAAAATTTTTTTTCCTGTAATACTGATTATATCTGCTTTCGGATAAATAAGAAATCAAATTTTGCACGCTTCAAAGATAGACTAAAAGTTAAATTGCAGTGTGGTCCAGTTTATCAAATTCTTTACAAGTCTCATTTCTATTTGACAACAATCAAGTCTGATTTTATAAACTAAAGGTGCGCGATGATGATGTTCGAAACATGTTTCGAACTCATGAACAATCTGGGTTCAATGAGATTGAGTTGTATGTTTTATTACAACAACCAGATCAACCTCAGATGGTAGATCCTTCTTAAGACTTTGAAGAAGAGGATGAATCTGACGAGGACAACCATTCCGACGTCGATGTTATTGACCAAGAAGAAGAAGATGATGAGACAATGATTAATTTTATGGTCAATAATGACGCTGCAGATCAAGAGCATGAACCTGTACCTACGAGTCATGCGTACGATCCTCCTTCACATGACGAACTTGAACTTGGGGGAAGATGAACCATCCTCAGATATCTTTCGCAATCCTTATATGCAGACCGAAGGGGCTTTGAAAGTTGGAGACTGATTTCGTACAAAAGAAGAGTGTATTGGAGCTATCAAAAAATACCACATGGAAATTTTAGCTGACTTAAGTATAGATCGAAATAATTCAGGGAGGTACGTTATTTTATGTCGTCAAAAACCAATTTGCGCTTTTCGGTTAACTGCATCTTACAGGAAGAAAAGTGATTCATGGGAAATATGTACCATTGATCCACTCCACACTTTCATCACCACCGTTCCGACGCAGGATCATCAGAAACTTAGTTCTCAACTAATATATCAAGAAATCTTGCCTCTTATTAGCAAGGATCCATCATTAAAGGTAAGTATAATTATTTCTGATATCGCTACAAGATTCAGTTATACTCCCTCTTACAAGAAGGCATGGATCGGGAGGACTAAGGCAGTTTAACTTGTGTACGGTAATTGAGAGGAACCGTACAAAGAACTTTCAAGATTTTTGGTGGCACTCAAATATTATGCTCCAGAAACTGTTATAATTTTGGAGACACTCCCGACATTTACCCCAGACAGAACTCGTGTTAGTGGAAATGGAATATTTCATCGATTATTCTGGGCGTTTGAACCATGTATCAAGGGTTTTGTATTTTGCAAACCTATTATACAAATTGATGGAACTTGGTTATACGGAAAGTATAAAGAAACATTACTCATGACCGTGACACAAGATGGGAACAATAATATTTTTCCGATTGCCTTCTCTCTAGTTGAAGGTGAGACAGGTGGTGCATGGAATTTCTTTCTGAAGAATCTCCGATTATTCGTTGCTCCTCAACCCAACCTTTGTTTGACTTCAGACAGACATCCATCGATTGTGAGTGCATACAATAACCCTGATAACGGTTGGCAGGATCCCCCTTCAACACATGTCTATTGCATTAGACATATCACACAAAACCTCATGCTCCATATCAAAGACAAGACACTTTGAAACAAAGTTGTTAATGCAGGATATGCCTTAACAGAATCATCATTCTGACACTATCACAAAGAAATCCGATTGACAAACTCAGAAGCATTAAGATGGATCGATAACATTTCAGTGGAGAAGTGGATTTAGGAATTTGACAATGGTCAACGATGGGGCCACATAACAACAAATTTGGTGGAATCATTGAACTCTGTCTTCAAAGGCATCTGAAACCTACCAATTACTGCTTTGGTTAGAGCAACATATTTTAGGATGGGGTTATTGTTTGACACAAGAAGTTTAAAATGAAGGGCAGTGTTACAATCAGGACAATTGTTCAGTGAATGCACAATGAAAACATTTAACGAGGAGGATGCGAAAGCAAATACCCATAGGGTCATCGTGTTTGACCGTATTAAAGGTTGGTTCAGTGTACAAGAGACAATGGATCATAATGAGGGGAGGCCAAGAGGATATTATCAGGTCGAACTAGATAGAGGTTGGTGTGATTGCGGAAAGTTTCAAGCATTTTGCATGACTTGCTCTCATGTCATAGCGACATGTTCACGTTCACTTGGACCCAACACAACATATATCTCTCGTGTACACAGTAAAGAGCATTTTAAGTGTGTACATTAATACCTTCTCTGTGTTGGCAAATGAGGATTATTGGTCTGCTTATCAAGGGGACATTGTTTGACACAATGAACAAATGCGGCGGAAGAAAAAGGGGCGCCCGAAAAGCACTCGTATTAGAAATGAAATGGATACGGCCAACAAAATGATAAGATTATGAAGTACATGTCGTCTTCTCGGACACAATCGAAAAATTTATCCGAATATCGGGTCTAGCTCTGCAACCTAACTTTTTTATAGCAAACTTTCCAGAATAATTAATTTTTTGTACGCAATATATTTCAATTTAAATTCGGGTTATCATTTCGTGTTCAATTTATCATTCGATTACAACAACCTTCACATAATGACCCAAAAAATTACAACACCACAAACTCAGGACAACAACACAACAACACGATAAACAGACAAAATAACTAAACAAATCATAATATCTAAGAGATAAAAACCATAAACACAATATCATCTGGTACAAGCATCATCTTCATGACATCAGCGTCACATCTCACCTTTTTCTATAATCGACTTACTCCATTTTCGTTCCTCACTGTAATTTGCCTTTCTATTTTTCCGATCTGTTCACTTTTAGGAATGTCTCCTTCCAAGCAGCGAATTAAGTGCCTCTGAAAATGCTCGAACGTCTGCGTCTTTCAGAGTTTGATCTTCACCGAAGACTTTGTCGCCGAAAAAATAACACGCGCATCTCTTTTGATCAGTAAAACCCTTGGCAAGAGAGTTGAAGACATTTTCTAAGAGTTATGTGACAAATGGTGTGAAAAAATGAAGAGGATAATTGATTGCATTTATAGGAAATCATATAACACTGTCAAGTCACAACAGATGACGCCTCCTTTCTACCATTACATGCATGCGCCACACTGCATGACTTTATAAAAGAGGACAAACCATACAGTGTTGCGACTCCTCTCTAAATAACATGCATGCGTCACACAGAGTGGCTACTTCTCTGTATGGCGAATCTTTTTTATTTAAAAAGTGGTTAATTTGATAAATTATTTGAAAATATGGTTATTTGAGATTTTTTTTTAAAAAAAAAATGGTTATTTAAAAAAAAAATTCAAGATTGTGAATAATACTAAACAGGATGAAAGAAATACTTTTATAAGAAAATGCACTTGTTTGGTAAAATGGACATACAAGCATTTCGGTTATGCTATCCATTAACATTCACCAAAACCAACAGCAACCACACCATCAAAAGACACAAAACCCACTTCAAACCTCGCAATTGCAGCAACAGCAGCAACACTCCCTTCAATGAGGCTGCTTACGAGGCCGAGCGCCTCACCCTCGACGCCAAAGCTCGCCAATCAATGGCGGTCGAAGAGGAGAATTCTTCTCTCCGAGATGATCCCAAAGCTTGGAAGTGGATAATTCGGAAGCGGATTTGGGATTTGATGGAAGATAATAATTTTGCACAAAATCCCAGGCCTGTTCATCATAGAATCCCTAATTTTGTTGCTGCTTCTCTTGCTGCGGAAAAGGTTTAAACACATGAAATTAGGGTTAACAATGTTCAAATTTGTGCTTAGTTAAGTTTAGTTCATTGTTAATGAGTTTATTCTATCATGCTCACTGAATTGCATTTATCACATTTAAGAATTCCGTGAACCGTTTCAAATTTGTTCTATTTAGTCACTTCATCAATCAATTTTATAAACTTCTGGGCGTGGAATAGGAAATGTCTGTTAATTGGAATTTGACTAGAACTATTTGGCACGCGGTGTGGGTTCTTTTGCAGATGAGGGATCTAGATGTGTTCCGCGGTGCACAATGTGTGAAGGTTAATCCAGATTCTCCTCAGAAACAAGTCAGATTTCTCACTCTTTCAGGTTAGATAGATGCTTTGAGTTTGTTGAGTAGGGAGGGGGAAGGTTACTCATGAAGTATTCGCACTTGTTTGGTTTTAGTATTTAACTGTGAAAAGTGTTAGACTAGATTCCTTATACAACTAAGCACAAAAGTAAAATTAAGAAACTCAACTTGCTAAAACAGAAATTGTGTTTGATAATAGATTTCCAGTTAACAAAATGGGAGTTGGAGATATTTTTTCAAAATTTGCAATAGTTTTCCATCTTTTTTCCTCTTCTCTTGGTCCTCTTTTAATTTTACTATCAATCTTCGTGCAGATGGAAAGAAGTTGTTAACTCCTCAACCACGCCTGAGGACAGGTTTTTTCTCTGTAATCGAGTCCAATATGTTAACTTTGGGTACCATCAAGGAAGCCTGTACTTCTATCGGGGTTGCCAAATATGGACGACCAATCGGATTAGATGAAAAGATAAAAGTAGATCTTATTGTTATTGGATCTGTTGCTGTTGACCCGAGTACCGGTGCTCGATTAGGAAAAGGAGAGGTACATTTCAAATGCCTTTTACATTTCTTATGCTTATGTTCGATTAATATCATGTTCATTTCCTTACTTAACCATTAAAGTGCAGGGATTTGCAGAACTTGAATATGGTATGCTGCGGTATATGGGAGCTATTGACGATTCAACACTAGTTGTTACCTCTGGTAATTTTGGTTTCTGCTTTTGTAACTTGTGTATTTTCAGTATAATACACGCACCTTCCATATTTCTTCAATCATTATTGATTTTCTCATAATGTGTAAAATTTACAATTTTCATTTATTGATTCATATATAACACAATAAGAACTACTGTTACAGTGCATGAGTGCCAATTAGTGGATGATATTCCAGTTGAAAAGTTGTTAATCCATGATGTACCAGTGGATATCATCTGTACTCCAGCCAAGGTCATTTTTACACACACATCCATTCCAAAGCCTCAAGGTTCGTCAAATATTTTTATCTAACTTCCCATTTTCTTTTTGATTATAGTGCCTTTCGTCCCTTTTAGCACCGACACCTCTGAAAAATGACGGTCAATGTCCGTGTCGCTGTTGGCGACACCGAAACTGATACGACACTGACACTTATAATTACGTTTAATTTATTCATTTTTTCAAATTATTAAAGATATCAATTGGAATTTACTTATATGAGCTTATCTTTTAGCATAAACACTTTTGAAAGTGATTGGCAAAGTTTATAGTAACAATTTATGGCTTTTCAATTTATGAAAACAACTTATATGTAGAAATAACTAATGCATAAACACTATACAACTAAGCGCTTAATTAAGCTGTTTATGCACACATTTCATGTTAGTTTTTAATCTTAAAACTTAAAAATGTTTTTGAAAAATGAATTAAAAGGTCTAACTCAGCTTATTTCTTTTCCATAGGAATTTATTGGGACAAATTGTCTCCTGAGAAGCTGGGACAAATTCGTATACTTAGAGACCTCAAAAGGAGGATTGAACAAGAGACTGGGCAAAAGCTTCCTACAGGTCCATCAGAGAAATTACCTCCTAGTGCTCAACGAGGCAGAAGGGGTTAATTTAGTAAAATCAATTTTGACGAATTTATGTATATATTGGATATGCTTAAGATATGTTTCAAAATGGAAATGTTTAATAAGGTTATATGAATACCAATTTTAAAGTAATTCAAGCAAGCATTTAACAACAAGTGGATCTAATATATATTAAGTGACGCCAAAGACTATTTTACAATTGTCAGTGAGATAATTCAAATTCAATACCTTGCAGTTACAAGGGTATGCTCTTACCATTGATCTAACTTTTCAAGTGTAGATATTTACATATTCACCCAATCAAATTTTATATAAATTGCTGGTTCACATTTAACCCATATTCCGATATCCAAGTTCAACCCATTTTTATACACATTCATATATCTATGATTAACATATTTATATTTACATATATTCACCTATTCACTTTTATCACAGATACATTGCATACTTTCATATACTCAAAAGTTTATATATGTTCTTTGTTGGCCAAAGACCCAATGCAGAAGTCCACCCATGAATGTTTCAATTGGAATTATCAAACGTATATATAGTCACTACACATGATATTTGAAATATATTTTTCTAATCTTCTTCATTTGTCACTACACTCACTTTTGGACTTTGTAATTGAATTCAGCATTGAAGTGTTAATCTTGCAGGTCCACCCTAAACCACCATGTCAGAGATTAACATTATTGCTTTCAGAGTCCTACATCATCAATCAATACCAATTCTGGACTAACCTGAAGTAATAACGTCATATGTGAAAAATAACATCGAATTCTCGCGATCACATTCTTTTTGATCTAATGTCGAATCACAAAGAAATCAGCTTCAATTTCACCCCTACTTTATAACATAGTACATTTACTATAACTTTCTTAATTTAGCTATCGATTCGAATTACAATAATTGAGAATGTCTAAAGGAAAGCCTTGGGACATCGACGTTTGTTATCACCAAATCTCACATTATCTAGAAGAGAAATAGAAAGAAGCCTGAATTAGCGCCATCATGTTCGGGGAGACGAGCATCCTCAGTGAATTCAAAATCCTCAGAGCAACGAGCATCTGCTGCAAATTCAAAATCCTTACCTATCATATTGATAATCTATATGAACTTAATAAACTCAATCTACACTGTAAATTGACGAGACCCGAATATAGCTCGAGAAGAACTTGAAAGCAAATATTCTACACACTGGCCAAAATAGAGGGAGAGAGGAAACCCAACGAATCAAACAGATCCAACAAACGACTACAAAAGAAGGCATATCGGCCGACTCGACCCCTTTCACCGCCAGAAGAACTGACGTACTGTTGGCTCCTAAATTCGACACCTTTGTTTTGATTGGTGGCAGCCATTAAAAGCTGAAAGATGCTTTCGACTGGCTAAGCCTGTCGAAGTGCCCGTCGAAAGATGGCAAAATACTTAGAAGATTTCTTCCAAGGAAGAAGGCTGATTGCCTTCGACGTCGAAGGAGTTTTCGTCGAAGACGTCTCTTAATGAAGGTGTTCGATGATCCAGAAGTGGAGCAGTTTGAAATTCAAAGCTTTGGAGGGAAAACGGTTTCCAGCAGTTTCTACGTGCTAACGTGCAAGGATCTGGAGCGTCGAACATGGAGAACGTGACAAGTGGCTTGATCTCGAAGCAGTGTAACTGCCCGACGGTTACTTGGAATGTTTTTGTATAAATAGGAGTAGACGTGTAGTTTCTCGCGTGTGTTCACAATAGATACATAGTCACTCATTTAGATTCAAGTACCCAGTGTGAGCGAACGAATTGTTGAGAAATGTATGTGTGAAACACCAATTTTATCAATTCAAGTCATTTACTTTTCCAGTATTTTACATGCTTTTCCCCTTTAAGATTCCTGTCGAACCTTTACATTCAAGCCTTGTTTATTTTACCAAGCCTTTCCTTTATGCAATTTACTTTAAACAATTTACTTAAAGCCTTATCCACATTAATTAAACTTCAAAATCAACCTATGTCCATAGGATCAATCTGATCGATCCTGCGAGTAACCAAATAAGTAACCATTTGGAGGATCAGCGGTTGTTTACCAAATCCCAAGGTAAACAAATTGGCACACCTGGTGGGACTGTGTGTTGATTGTTGAAAAAATCTCATCTTTTCGAGTTGTATGTTATTGAGGAGTGGTAGAATATACACCAACGATAATAATACTGCCAGAAGAAGGGAAGAGATGGCGAATCCGCCAAACAATAATGAAATTCCACCACCAAGTGTGGGAGCAACGGTTAATATGACCGTTAGTGAAGCGACGAATGTTGGTTCGACACCAGCAGTGTCAGTCACAACCACGGGGCCAATAACTTCGTTTACAGGCCCCAGAATGCCTTTGGGAACCCCCCCTCCAAGGGGAAATACTGGCCCAAGGCCAGTGGTTCCCCCAGGATTTATTCCATTCTATGGCATGCCAACTTCTGAAGTGGCAAGCCTGACGAATGCTGCGTCCACTTATTCAGACCCTTTCGTGAGTGCCACTTCACCACTCCAAGGCTCTGGAGTAGGCATGGCGAATAGAAATAGGACCCAACTCTTAGGAGGAACGTCCCAAGTAGCCCATGGCCTTACGAATGCCTCGACAGCAGTCTTGAGGCAACAGATGGACGAAAGCAACCATGATATGGTGCAAATGTTGGCACAAACTTTGAGTACAGTGCTAAATCCTCTAATACAAAATACTACTCAGTCGAATCAGCAAGTTACAGCGCAAATGACGCGTTTGGCTGACTTCTTTGGAGTACCCCCACCTATTCGACAGCCCCAAAGGGCCCAGATAAGAGGAAATCAGGGGATATTTGTAGAGGAAGAAACCACCATTAACCAGGTTCAACAGCCTGTCGAACAGCCTGTCGAAGAACCTAGGGTAATAGCCCCAGAGGTAAGGTTAGTTAACAGAAACCAAAATGCTGACGAAGTGGTTCAGCATATCCAACACCAAAACATGGGGTTGGAAAACAATCTGGCAACCATGATCGAAAGGATCATGAATCAGAATGGGATGAACATGGGCTTTCGAAGGCCCAACTTTACATCCCCATTGTCAGAATATGTGTTACAAACTGACTTACCCCCTAGAACCAAAGTCCCCAAATTTACTAAGTTCTCTGGGGACACGACAGAATCCACTGTCGAACATGTGGCAAGGTATTTGATCGAAGCAGGAGACATTTCAAATAATGAAAACCTAAGGATCAAATACTTCCCAAGTTCCTTAACCAAGAACGCTTTTACTTGGTTTACAACTCTACCCCCCAATTCGATCCACCATTGGACCCAGTTGGAAAGATTGTTCCATGAACAATTCTATATGGGGCAAACCAAGATAAGCCTGAAAGAACTGGCGAGTGTGAAGAGACGTTTCACTGAACCTATAGACGAATATCTGAATAGGTTTAGGTTGCTTAAGGCGAGATGTTTTACACAAGTGCCAGAACATGAGCTGGTCGAAATGGCCGCAGGTGGTTTAGATTATTCCATTAGGAAGAAGCTAGATACCCAATACCTAAGAGACATGGCCCAACTGGCCGATAGAGTTCGACAAGTCGAACGCCTTAAAGCTGAAAAAGCTAAGGCAACAAAAACTCACAAGAGAGAAAGAATAGCGTACGTTGAGATGGATGACGAAGATCTAGAATCCTTCGACGATACTTTAGCTGTCGAAGAAGGAGAAGTCGACTTAGCAGAACTAAAACAAGGGCCTCCATACTCTTGTAAACAATTAGTCCCCTCAAATGGGAAAAATCCCATTGGTCCAGACAAGACCAACGATAGGTTCCCAAAAAAGACTTATAGTTTTGACATCACAAAATGTGATGAAATATTCGACTTGCTAGTTAAAGATGGCCAAATGATAGTACCCCCTGGGGTAAAAGTGCCTCCTCTTGATCAAAGAAAGAAGAGAGGTTTTTGCAAATATCATAATTTTCTGGGCCATAAAACTTCTCAATGTTTTCTTTTCAGGAATCTTGTGCAAGACGCTATTGAGGAAGGGAGATTAAAGTTTGCTGACAAATCCCCCATGGCTGTCGACTCCAATCCAATGAAGGCTGAAGCCCACTATGCAGAACCCTCTGAGGTGAACATGATAGAGGCTACCAAGATCCAGTCGAAGAAGCCAGGCATTAACATGGTCGAAGTCTCTAAGGACCATATCAACATGCCAATCTTTGGCAGTTTTTCTGGAAACTTATCCAGGAAGACAATTGAGGCTGTCCAGAAAGCGGTCGAAGATCCAAAGTCGAAGACTGCTGAAGCACAAAAAACTGGACCAAAGCCCAGTTCCCAATTGGCCACTGTACAAGGCCAGACGGAGAATCTGGAGACACAAATGAAACAACTAACTCTTGCTACTAAGGATACAATGAATATCAACATGGTTGAACTTTCTGACCCTAAAACTTCAGAAGAAGCCATAAGGCAAGAGCAGGCAAATAAAACGGCTTTCCCTAGGGAAAACGAAAACTTGGCAGATTTTTTACAAAGATGCCAAAAGAAGAAATCAGAGGTTATGCTGTGTCCAAGATGCAGTTCTATCTTTGATAAAAAAGCTGCTGAGCACATACAAGGAGTGAGGGCAGCGAACAAGAGAAGGGAGAATTCTGACCTTCGACATGATCCCAGAAGGGGTTCTAATCAAGACAAGAGGCCTTTGACTTTTAGGCCTCCAACAAATGTACCAGTAGACACTTGGTACAAAACATCTGGCCGGAAAAGGCCAAGTGAAGAGAAATGGCATTCTTTCGAAGTGCCAAGAGGTTCCTCTTTAATTCAGAAGAAAGATCCTCAAGTTGCTGCACCCAAGGTTGCTCAAGTGTCCAGCAACTACAAGGGAAAAAATCCTATGTCGAGATCCCAATGGAGGAGATATCAAAGAAGGCGAAAAGCTGAAAGAGAGGCTGCCAACGAACCTAAGGCAGAAACTAGTTCGAATGTGCCTCAAAGGAAACAAAGAAAGCCTCTTGAGAGAGAACCAGTTACCAACAGGCTAG